GCAGCCCACCCCCAGCCCCTGGCCACCAGCTGATCTTTCTGCCCCTGTGGCTTTGCCTGGTGTGGGCATTTCTTACAAACGGGGCACGAGGGACGGGGCCTTGGTGTCTGGCTCCTCTCGCACCGCAGCCCGTTTTCCAAGTTCACCCGTGTTGTGGCGTGACTCAGTGTGTCGTTCCTTTTTCATGGCCCAGTAATATTCCACTCCAGATGGACCGTGTTCCGTTGCTTCATGCGTCTGTCTTTGAGCCTGTGGGTCTGAGGTGGGTCGTTTGCACCTCTCGGGGGCCGGGGTGGGTGCTGCTGCTGTGTTCTCTCACGAGCCCGTGTCTGCGGACAGGCGGGGGGGGGGGCGGGCTCCATTCTCCGGGACGCACGCCCGCAGTGGAATCGCCGGCTCAGAGGGTAACTGGGGGCTTGCTTCTTGAGGGACCCCAGGCTGTTTTCCAAGGCGGCCGCAGTGTGTTCACCTGTAGCTTTGGGTGGACAGATGCGAGTTGTTTTATTTGTTACCTTTTTAATCCTCGCCTGAGGGTATTTTCCCGTTGATTTTTAGAGAGAGTGGGAGAGAGGGAAAGGCAGAGAGAAACATTGACGTGAGAGACACACATCCATGTGTTGCCTCCTGCACACGCCCCGACCAGGGCCCGGGCCGGGGAGGAGCCTGCAACCGAGGTACGTGCCCTTGACCGGAATTGAACCCGGGACCCTTTGGTCTGCAGGCCGACGCTCTATCCACTGAGCCACACCAGCCAGGGCCAAATGCAAGCTGTTTTAAATGGAGGCTAGTAAGTAAATGTGAGGGAAGGGCGGCTGGGTGGGGCCAGTGGCAGTGGAGGTTGGGGGTGGGGGGTGCTTGGACCAGGTTGGGGTGCCAGCCTGAGAGACGCAGGTGAGCCGGGCCTGGGCCTGGGTCCAGGGGCGCCAGCCAGGACAGCAGCTGCAGGAGAGGCCGGTGGGGGGGTCCCCGGGAGTGCGAGCAGGATGGGAGGATCAGGGGAGGTGAGGACGGAGGCAGGTGAGCCCGGCGGTAGGGACTGTGCAGGCGCAGAGCCTGGCAAAGTCAGTGTGAC